TAATAATAATATAATAATAATAATAATAATAATAATATAATAATAATAATAATAATAATAATATAATAATAATAATAATAATAATAAACAGCATCTGCAGCACTTCTTATGCAGTCTACAGCTAAATATATAAACGCAAAAAAACAAATTTGTATATTCATCGCAGCAGATAAAAGCAGCAGCTGCACGATGTATATAATAAATAATATTTTATTTATTTATTTATATTTATTTTTATGTTTATTTTAATTATATTTAATAAATGCAACAACAAATTTTTATTTGTTTTTATCAGGGATGCGACTTCTCTGATTTGTTTCAAATGTTCATAGTGCTGCTGCAGCAAATGATGTTCTTTATCTTCTATAAACATATAAATAAATAAATAAATAAATAAATAAATAAATAAATAAATAAATATATGATTAGTAAGACAACCCCAACACCCTATGCCGCCAGACGCGGTTTAAATCTGTATATACAAAATATTTTTATATATTAACATATATAATATACATATAATATATATAATATATATACATAATATATATCTATTATATATATATTCTTATAAGTGAAGACAGCTGCAGATATCTATAAAGGGTTAGTAGAGATAAACTAAATATAATAATTCAAGTGTATGCAGCAGCCTTAGGTATATAAAAAATAAAGACAGCTGCTGCTGCACTCAGAGAAGAAGGTGTTGGTGCTTCACTCTCAATTAAATATCAAAATAATCTTTAAAATAACATTTAAATGTAAATTTATTGATAAATATATTATTATATTTATATATATTTATATATATATATATATATATATAGAAGCATGCCTACGCTGGGGCTGTGTACAACAACCACACCTCCTCTCGGGTGTACATACACCGCAGTATTTTGCTCTTTTATAACTTTTTTAGTTTTTCTTCAGAGCTAAGCTAACAATACACTCGAATTCAAATATTCATACAGCAATAAGAAGGACCCCACAGAAAGCAGCGATACACAGCAGCACCGCCCCCCAGCAGCGCAGCAGCAGCAGCAGCAGCAGCAACGGCAGCAGCAACAGCAGCTGCTGCAGAGGCAACGATTTTCAGCATCGGCAGCAGCGGCGCAGCACCAGCAACAGCGGGAACAGCAGCAACAACAGCGGGAACAGCAGCAACAACTGCTGCTGCTGCAGCAAGTGCAGCAGCAGCAGGTGCTGCAGCAGCACCACTGGGTCGGGTTTTCTTGCTAGAAGCCAATACTATAAATCTTAGCTGCAGCAAGTGTAACTCTACGATGAACACACAGCAGGCAGCAGCAGCAGCAATTGCTGCTGCTGCTCCTTCTGAAACGCCACACGCTGCTGCTGCTGTTGCTGCAGCAGCCGCAGCAACAGCAGAAACAGCAGCGACAGCAGCAACAGTAGCAACAGCATCAACAGCGGATCCGAGCGAGACAGGAGCAGCACCAGCAGCAGCACCAGCAGCAGCACCAGCAGCAGCACCAGCAGCACATGCTGCTACCTCAGCCTCAACTGTTAAGCGCGCTGCTCTCTCTGCCTTAAGGGCAGCAGATGCCTCCCCCGCTAAGCGTCTCCATCTCGAGAAGCAGCAGCAAGTGCAGCAGCAGCAAGAGCAGCAGCAGCAAGAGCAGCAGCAACAACAGCAGCAACAAGAGCAGCAGCAGCAGCAGCAGCAACATTCTCCTTTGTTTCGATCTGAAGCCACACCGCTGAGGAGCTGCAGGCCTCACAATACAGAGGGAGAGGAGGCAGCAGCAAGCCCCTTCTCTGGTCCTCTTCCTGCAGGAGCAGCAGCAGCAGCAGCAGCAGCAGCAGCAGCAGATGCTGCGTCTCCCATCGGTTCTCCAGTACCGCCTCGGCGCGTTCAGCAGCAGCAGCAGCAGCAGCAGCAGCAGCAGCAGCAGCAAAATGGTTTTGCTGCGATATCTACTCCTGTGGCCTCTAACAAAGCTAGATCTGCTGCTACTGGCGCCTCACTCCTCAGCAGCAGCAGCAGCAGCAGCAGCAGCAGCAGCAGCAGCAGCAGCAGCAGTGAGGAGTGCAGCCTAGAGGCTATCCCGGCTCCGTTTAGAAAAGGTTATGTATGTACAGTAAAAGCTGCCGGCCCCCTTAGAGTTGCTGAGTTAGCAGCACTGTTTGCTCTGTGGGGCGATCTGAGAGCCCCTGTGCCGCTGCTGCAGTTGGTTGGTGCTGCAGGCTCAGGGAAGAGCTTCTTGCTGCGGCTGCTGCTGCAGCACAGCTCTGTTGCTCATGGTTATGCTGATGCTGCTGCTGCTGCTGCTGTCGATGGTGCAGCAGGGAGGCAGCTACTCTACCTTCATCTGCTGCGATCTCTTGCTGCTTCTCTTAAAGACGAAGCGGAGGCTTGCTGCGAACCCTTGTTTAAACTGCAGCAGCAGCAGCAGCAACAACAACAACAGCAACAGCAGCAGGAACGGAAGGACAAGGGACTCAATGATACTAAGGAGAAGCTGCAGCAGCAGCTCCGCACGCTGCAGCAGCAGCACAAGTTGCTGCTGCAGGAGTGCAGCAAAGCTTCAAAGTCTCGTGTAAGTGCTGCAGATGGATTCATAGAAATGTTGGTGCGGCTGCTTGGGGCATCTGCTGCTGCTCTCCGCGCCGCTGCAGCAGCAGCAGCAACAGCAGCAGGATCAGCAGCAACAGCAGCAGCCGCAGCAGCAGCTGCTGCAGCGCACCAGGAAGCAACAGACCGAGCAGGAAGAAGTGTGCTGCTAGCAGTAGATAGCACTGAAGCCCTTCGCCAGCTGCTGCCGGAGCTGCTGCAGGCGCTGCTGCGGCTTCCAGAGTTATTATACAGCGAAGCAGAAGCTGTTGCTCCTGCAACAACAACAACAACAACCAGCAGCAGCAGCAGCAGCAGCAGCAGCAGCAGCAGCAGCAGCAGCAGCAGCAGCAGGGG